GTGTGTGTGTGTGTGTGTGTGTGTGTGTGTGTGTGTGTGTGTGTGTGTGTGTGTGTGTGTGTATGAGGGGGGGGAGTGCATGTGTACTGTAAGGGAGCAGAAATAAATTATTATCACAATACTGTAAAGAAATTTAAATATCTCATTGTTTCATTGTATAGATGAAACAAAGAAGCAGAAAACCTGTGGTTTCCCCAGAGCAATGCAGCACTGCAGCTCACTCAGGGCAGCAGTGAACAGTTATTAGGATCTCCTGACTCCACACACAGCACTCTTTCCAGTACACCATGGCTTATCAGCTGTCCTCACATGTATCAAGAGCAAACTGGCAAGAGGCTATTGAGGACTGAAGAAGACCTGACAGTGGGGCACCTGTCCTCTCAACAGATCTCCCTCTATTACTGCACTGTCTTCCCTTTTGCCTCCGGCATATGGAGACAGGAGGCAGATCTGCAAGCATGGGTGCAAAAAAATAAAGCTCACCCTTCTCTTTGATGAGCTTGGGAGGATTCAGGATGCTCTCTCTCAAGTAGTAAAGACAGCTGCTGAGATGTGGCAAAGCTTTGATCCATGATCTTTAAGTCCCAGAGTTATGAAATCGCCCCCTGAAGACAAATAAGGTGAGCTTTAAATTACACTTGGTGATTCAAGCTTGGGTGTGAAACATATCAAAATTAGAAAAAGCGATGACAGACAAGAGGTTAACATAAAATATGCCAAATTATTATTATTTCCTTAGAAAACTGCTCTAAAGTACTACATTTAAATATAGTGAAGCTATTTTTCAATATTTCCAATGTTCAACTTCTTTTTAAAGATGTATGGGGCTGGGGATTTAGCTCAGTGGTGAAGCCACCTACATTGCAAGTGCAAGGTCCTGAGTTTGATCCCTGATACAAAAAAAAAAAAAGTATGCGTGAGTTCATGTGTATCTCTGTGGAATATATGTGCATATATATATATGTATATATATACATATATATATGCATTGACATATACATGTGTTGACTGAGAGAGAAATAGAGACATCTTACAGACAGAGATAGAGAGGCAGAGAGACAGAGACAGAGAAACAAAGAGAAGGAAAGCTAAAGTAAATGCTGGAGCCTTAACAGAGGACCTCATATAACTTAAGAAAAATAAAATCTAGGTACAGGCTATTTAGTAATAGCATTTCCAAATTATAAGTTTAGCATTTGTTTTCTTTTTTTTGGTACCACTGAGCTAAATCCACAGCCCAAAAAACTATTGACTTTTCTGTGTTGCCCTGGTATCCAGCCTCTTTACTGAATTTGATTAAGTATATAAGACTTTTGGTGGAGTTCTTGGACTCTTCTATATAGAGTACCATGTCATCTGAAAATAATGACAATTTAACTTCTTCATTTCCTATAATTATTCTTTTTATTTCTTTCTCTTGTCTAATTCCTGTAGCTAATGTTTCCAAAACTATATCAAACAGGCGCAGTGATAGTGGACATAGTTGTCATATTCTTGATCTTAGCATTAAGCTTTTCAGTTTTTGACCATTTAGTATGATATTGGTTATTGGTTTTTCATATATGGCTCATCAGATTTGAGGTAGAGGCTTTCTATTCCAATTTTCTGTAGAGCTTTTATCGTGAATGTATATTGGATTTTGTCAAACACTTTTTCTTTATGTACTGAGATGATCATATGATTTTTGTCCTTGACTCTATTAATATAGTGTATTTCATTTATTGATTTCAATATGTTAAACCATCCCTGCATCCCTGGAATGAATCCCACTTAGTCAGGGTGTATGATCATCTTGATGATGTCCTGCATTCTATTATTAGGGATTGGCCTGTAGTTCTCTTTTTGGTGGGGTCATTTTGTACTCTGGGGATCAAAGTGATGCTTGCTTCCAGGAATGAATTCAACAGTATTGCTTTCCTTTCAATTCCACTGGAGAGTTTAAATAGTAGTGACAGTAGTTCCTCTCTAAATGTCTTGTAGAATTCAGCAGTGAAGCCATCAAGACCTGGACTTTTCTTAGCTGGTAAGTTGTTTTTTTTTTTTTTTTAATTTTATTGAGTTTATTGGTACATTTTAGGGATACAGTACAGTTACATTCATTGTTGGGATCATGTACCTTTACATGGCAAGTCTTGATTCTCATTTTTCCCCTTACCTCTGCCCTCCCTTCACCCCCTCCTCCTGGTAAGTTTTTAATTACATTTTCAATTTCATTGATTGATATTGGGTTGTTTAGAATTTTTAGGTCATCTTTTTCCAACTTTAGTAATTCATACAAATCTAGGAATCTGTCCATTTCTTCTATATTTTCCATCTTATTGGTGTATAGGTTCTTGAAGTAGATATTGATGATTCTTTGGATTTCTGCTGGGTCCATTGTAATTTCACCCTTTTTATCCCTAATTGTATGGATTTATGCCTTTTCTTTCTTTCTTTCTTTCTTTGTTAAGATTGGCTAGGGGTTTGTCACTTTACTTTCAAAGAACCAACTCTTTGCTTCATTGATTTTTTTGTATTGTTCTCTTAGACTCCATTGCTTTGATTTTTGCCCTGATTTTATAATTTCCTCCCTTGTATGAGCTTTGGGTATTTCTTGCTCTTCTTTTTCTAGAAATTTGAGGTTCAGCATCAGGTTGTGTAATTGACCTCTCTCTGTTCTCCTAATATGAGTATTCACTGCTATGGATTTCCCTCATAAGACTGCTTTCATGGTGTCGCAAATGTTCCAATATGTTGCACTGTCATTGTCATTTAATTGTAGGATATGTCAGATTTCTTCTTTAATTTCCCCTTTGACCCAATGGTTATTCAAAAGCATGTTGTTCAATTTCCTTGTGTTTATGAAATTCTTGTGGTTTGTTTTGCTATTGATCTCCAATTTCACTGCACAGTGATCTGATAATGTGCAGTGGATAACTTCAATTCCTTTTCATTTAATTAAACATGTTCTATGAGTGAATATGTGGTTTAATTTGGAGAACAATCCATGCAGAGCTGAAAAGAATGTATATTCTGATTTTGTGGGGTGGAACACTGAAAACATCTGTTAAGTTCATTTGCTCAAGAGTTTCAGTTCTACTACCTCATTGTTTATTTTTTGTCTAGTTGATCTATCACTTTGTGATAGTGGGGTATTGAGGTCCCCTACTACTACTGTATTAGTGCTTATTTAATTTTCATTTCTATTAGTATTTGTTTTATATAGCTGGGCACACTGGTATTTGGTGCATAGATATTAATGACTGTCATCTCTTCCTCTTGGAATATTACCTTTACAAGGATGTAGCATCCTTCTTTGTCTCTCTTAATCAGTGTTGGTTTGAAATCCACTTGGTTTGCAAAGAGGATAGCTACTCCTGCTTTTTTTTGGGGGGGCAGGGTCCTGTCACATGGAATATTGTTTTCCACCCTTTACCTTTCAGTCTGAGTTTTTTTTTTTAATTAAGTGTATACAGCATACTGTTAGATCTTGCTTCTTCACCCATTCTGGCAGTTTATTTCTTTTGATTGGTGCATTGAGACCATTAACATTGATGGTTATAACAGATATGTATTGACTTATCTTTGTCATGACTTTTTTTTTTTCTTTTCTTTTCTTTTCTTTTTTTTTTTTTTTTTTTTTTTTTTTTTTTTTTTTTTTTTTTTTTTTTTTTTTTTTTTGATTCTCCCCCTTTGCATTTAATTTCTTGTCATGCCTGATGGAGTTTTTGTGCTGGACTTCCTGGGGTTGTGATCCTCATTGTCTTTTGCTAGGATATTGTTTACATTTTTCTTCAAGTGCTGGTTTAGTATTCATGAAGTTCCTAAGGTGCTCTTTGTCATGAAAGTATCTTATTTCTCCATCAATTTTGAAAGGTAGTTTTGCAGGGTACATAAATCTGGGTTGGAGGTTGTTTTCCCTTGGGACCTGAAATACGTCACTCCGAGCTCTTTTTGCCTTGAGGGTATGTGTTGATAGGTCTGCTGTGATTCTGATGGGCTTTCCTCTGAATGTGATTTGTTTCTTTTCTCTAACTGCTTGTAGAATTTTGTTTTTCTGTTGGGTTTCTGGAGTCTTGATGGTTATATGTCTAGGTATAGATTTTTCTTTTATGTCATCTGCACTCTCTTATTTCTTCATTGACTCCAATCAGTCTTATGTTATTCTTTGCATCACCTAGCAGCTACTGGATTGATTTTCATGGTCCCTTACAATGTTTAAGAAATTTTTCTTTACTGATTACTAATTGCAATCCTATCTTCTATATCTGAAATTAAGTCCTTACATTGGCTCATTCTGCTGCATAGACTTTCAATAGAGTTTTCAATCTCCTGGAAATCTTCCATCTGTTTTATGGATTGCACTTATTTCCTATGTTGGGATTCCATCATGTTCCTCAGCTCCTCAATTTTTTATCTGTGTCTGCTCTAGATTCATTAATCACGTCTTGCATTATGGGCAAAATTTCTGATGTTATCTGATAAATTATTTCTGATTTAATTTTTTCCAAGTTCTCTTTCATTGCCAGTTCATGGAGTCCAGGTGGTTGAGTATCAGATTGTTCCATCTCATTACTCTTTGGTGTTGCCTTAAGTGATCTGGAAGTCTTGTTTTAAGACTTGTTTACATGTCTTCTCATTTCAACAGATGCTGTCTGCTGCACCTTTATTGAGGCAACTTTTCTCTGTTATGTCCCAGTACACTAATTCCTTGGTTCAGAATGGTGGCCTTCTGGATCCCTGAGCTGACCTGTTGACTGGGAAGGCTTCTAGCTGGAACCTGGGCACAATCTGTATAGTATCTAGGTGTGCTTCTCGCTGGGGACCCTATTTAGCTATTGTCTTGGAGGGTCTTTGGCTGGGGGCTATGCACCCCAGTTCCTTTTGTCTGTGCAGACTTCTGGCTAGAGTCTCTGTGCACTTATCATGGTATTAGGGTGAGCCTCTGGCTGTTGCTTATACACCTGTGTAGCTCTTTTCCAGGAAGGCCCTTGGCTGTGGCCTGTGTCCCCAAGCCACTGGGGTTAGGGTAAAGACTGGCTGGGATCGATCTGCAATCACACCCCTGTGTTCCACACAGCTCCTCCCTAGGATCTGGGCATACTTACCAATGATATGGTGAGCCTCTGGCTGAATGAAGCTTGTATATCTGTGCAGATCTTTTCTGGGCAGGACTTTAGGCTTGGACAAGTTTGCTAGCCTCTAGAGTCAAGGCAGAGCCCAGGCTGGGATCCACCTGCAGCCACGATCCTCTGGTCCACACAGCTGCTCCCGAGGATCTGCATGTACTAGTGATTGAAAATTGAAATATTAAGTAACATAAAAAACCAAATAAGCACTAATACAATTGTAGTGGGGGATCTAAATATCCCACTATCACAAATAGATCATTTAGGCAAAACATCAACAATGAAATACTAGAACTGAACAAAGCTTTTGAACATATGGACTTAATAGACATCTACAGAGTGTTCCACCCCACAAAATCAGAGTATACATTCTTTTCAGCTGCACATGGGTCATTCTCCAAGGTAGACCACATACTATCTCATAGAACAGGTTTGAATAAATGCAAAGGAATCAAAGTTGTCCCATGTATATTATCAGATCATAGTGTAACTAAGCAGGAGATCAATAGAATAAGAAACTGTAGGCATTTCATAAATACATGGAAACTCAACAACACTCTCTTGAACAATCAATGGGGCACAAAGGAATTAAAGAAGAAATTAAACAGTTTTTACAAATAAATGATAATACCACTACAACATACAGGAATCTATGGGACACAATGAAAGCAGTTCTACAGGGAAAATTCATAGCACTGAATGCCCACACTAGGAAAACAAAGCAAGCTCAAATAAACAACCTAATGATGAATCTTGGACTCCTAGAAAAAGAAGAGCAAGAAAAACCCAAAGCTTGTACAAGAGAGGAAATTATAAAGATTAGAGCAGAAATCAATGCAATGGAAACTAAGAAAATGATACAAAAATAAATCAAAGAGTTGGTTTATTGAAAGAATAAATGAAATTGATAAACCCTTAGCTAACCTTTTCCAGAAAAGGCTCAGATCCATGCAATTAGAAAGGAAACAGGTGAAGTCACAACAAATCCAACAGAAATCCAGAGGATAATCAGTACCTACTTTGAGAACCTGTAATCTAATAAAATGGAAAACACAGAATAAATGGACAGATTTCTAGATACTTATGAATTACCAAAGGTGAATGAAAAAAATAAAAAAGTTTAAACACACCAATTACAATCAGTGAAATTGAAAATGTAATTAAAAGTTTACCAACAAAGAACAGCCTAAGTCCTGATGGATTCACTGCTGAATTTTACAAGACATTTAGAGAAGAACTACTGGCACTATTCTTCAAACTTTTCAATGAAATTGAAAGGAAAGCAATACTTCCAAATTCATCCCTGGAAGCAAGTATCACTTTGATTCCCAAACCAGGGAAAGACCCAACAAAAAAAAGAGACCTACAAGCCAATCTCCTTAATGAATATAGATGAAAAATCCTTAAGAAAATACTAGCAAATAGTATACAGAGGATGATCAAGAAGATCATGCATCCTGACCAAGTTGGATTTATTCCACGGATGCAAGGATGGTTCAACATACATAAGTCAATAAAAGTAATACACTACATTACCAGAGTCAAGGACAAAAACCATATGATCCTCTTGATAGATGCAGAAAAAGCATTTGACAAAATTCAACACCCATTCATGATAAAAACCTTGCAGAAAATCAGAATAGATGGTATTTATCTCAACCTGATAAAGGCTATCTATGAAAAACCAACAGCCACCATCATATTAAATGCTCAAAAACTGAAAACCTTCACGTTGAAATCAGGAACAAGACAAGGATGCCCACTATCACCACTCCACTTCAATATAGTTCTGGAAGCATTAGCCACAGCAATTAGACAAGAGAAAGAAATTAAAGCAATAAAGATAGGAAAGGAAGAAGTTAAACTGTCATTATTTGCTTATGACATGATACTCTACATTGAAGACTCAAAAAACTCCACCAAAAGACTTCTCGGCTTAATTGACACTTTCAGCAGAGTAGCTGGATACAAGGTCAACACTCAAAAATCAATAGCTTTCTTGTACACAAAGAGCAAACTCACTGAGAGAGAAATTTGAGAAACAATTCCTTTCACATAGCATCCAAAAAATGAAGTAATTAGGAATCAATCTAACAAAAGAAGCAAAAGACCTCTACACTGGAAACTATAGCACTCTGAAAAAGAGACCGAAGAGGATATAAGAAAATGCAAAGATATCCCCAGATCCTGGGTAGGAAGAATCAACATAGTGAAAATGGCCATACTACCAAAGCTGCTATACAGATTCAATGCAATGCCAATTGAAATTCTAACAGTATATATCACAGAACTAGACAAAAGAATCCAAAAATTCATTTGGACCATAAGAGACCTAGAACAGCAAAAGCCCTGCTAGGCAACAGAGACATGGCAGTGGGTATAACAATTTCCAATTTGAAACTATACTACAAAAAGACTGTGATAAAAACAGCATGATACTGGCAAAGAAATAGAACTGAGGATCAATGGAATAGATTGCAAGATACAAAAACAACTCCAGCTGTACTCAGCTACCTCATCTTTGACAAAGGAGCCAACCATCCTCACTGGAGGCAGGATAGCCTCTTTAACAAATGGTGTTGAAAAAATTGGATTTCAACCTGCCAAAGATTAAAACTAGACCCTTATCTTTTACCATGCACTGAATTAAAATCCAAGTGGATTGAAGATCTAAATATTAAAAAAGAGACACTAAAATTTCTGGAAGAGAAATGAGGCAGAACTCTTGAAGACAATGGCATAGGAAAACACTTTATGAACAAATCCTCAGTAGCATGGGAACTAGCACAAAGAAATAACAACTGGGATTTCATCTTATTAAAAAGCTTCTGCACTGCAAAAGAAACCATCCACAAAGCTAAAAGACAACCTACAATGTGGGAAAAAATTTCTACCAGCTGCTCCTCACACAAAGGACTATTATCTAGAATGTATAAAGAACTCAAAACAATCAGCCCACCCAAAATATAAAGACCCAATTCAAAAATGGGCATGAACAGACATTTCTCAGACAAAGAAGTAAAAGCAGCAAGTAAATATGAGAAAAACTGTTCTACATCACTGGTCATTGGAGAGATGCAGATGAAAACAACACTGAGATTCCACCTCACTCCACAAAGAATGGCTGCTATCAAGAAATCAAACAATAACAAATGTTGGTGGGGTAGTGGGGAGAAAGGAACCTTTCGCCATTGTTGGTGGGAGTGCAGACTGGTGCAACCACTATGGAAATCAATATGGAGATACCTCAAAGAACTAGGTTTAGAAGTTCCATTTGACCCAGCCATTCCTCTGCTGGTTATCTTTCCAAAATAATGAAAAGCATAATAGCACAGTGATATATGCACACCTATGTTTATAGCAGCACAGTTTGTAATAGCTAAAATTTGGAAACAGCTCATTTGCCCATCAGCTGGAGACTGGATAAAGAAGATGTGGTTTTTCTATAAAATGGAATACAGCCATAAAGAATGAGAAATTAAGAGTCATTCATAAGAAAATGGATACATATTGAGGATATACTCCTAAGTGAAATAAATAAGTCATACATGTATAAATACCAAATAGTTTCTCTGGTGCAAAAAACTATAATAGTACGTAAGATCCAAATGGCATAATGATAATGTGAAATAAGAAGAAAAGGGCTAAAGGTGTACAGGAAGTGGGAAGGGTAGGGGAAAGGAAATAAGGGAAAATAAAAATATAAGAAAAAGAAAAATGGAAACAAAGTTTTTGTAAATAGGGAAAGGAGGAGGGGGTGAAGGGAGCAATGTAAGGGGAAAAAATGAGAACCAAAACTTGTCACGTAAAGGTACAAGAGCCCAATGATGAAAGTAACTGTACCGTATATCTAAAATGTACCAATCAACTCAATGAGAAAAAAAAAGAAAAGCAATGTGGAGCCAAATTTGCAGATCACCTATGACAAAATGTACAGGTCTTCATGGTACATATTTGGCTAGATGTATTACCCTGAATTCATCTTAGCAATTTATTTGTATTTTATTTTTCCAAATTTTATTTCTTGTTTTATTTCATTAATGAATCTATTTTAGCCATTTAAGTTCTTTTTGTGGAATAAAGGAAGGCACAAATAATTGATGTTAATAACAGAATCAAAATTATTATTTGAAAATTACTTAAATTTTAAAATATAATCATTTATAGTTATGTAATTTTGTATATATAAAAGGATGTAAAGATTGAAGCAAGAAATGTAAAACAGCTGAGTTTCTATTCTAACATTTTGCAGAAAAGCATAATTACCAACTTAATGGCTTAATGTTTGTTATAGCAAGAAAAATTACAATACAAGGTAATTTCAATTAGTTTTAAGAAAACAAATGAAGTGTCTTACATCACTAAAGTTAATATTTCCAGTGTACTTCACACTAAGTAATATCAGTCAGCACTTCCTTTAACATTGATTTTAAAATATCTGTGCACTGGTGACATAGCTAAGTGATAGAGAGCATGCTTAGCATGCACAAGGCCCTAGGTTCATCCCCAATATTGCAATCAATCAATCAATCAATCAAAAAGAAAGAGACTCAAGAAAGTGTAATGGTTAAGAATATAGACTCATTGGCCAGGGATTTGGTTCAGCGGTCCTGTCACCTGCCTCACAAGTGCAAATGCCTGAGAATATAGACTCAAATTTTCATCTTTCTCTGCCCATGTGACTTCCTGAAATCCCGTTTTCACAGATTACCTTTACAGTACTATAAAAATACAATGCAAATGTGGAAAATGCTTAGAACAGAACCTGGTGCTTAATTAACATTATACAAGTTTTAGTTGTCTTCATCCTCTAGTAGACATTATCTTCATCCTCTAAAAGATGAAGAAACTGTTTTTGCTGGGATTTCTCTTAAGTGCTATCAGAAGCTTAATGTCTGTAGGTAACAAATTTAGTCATATTCAGACATGTAAATACCAAATAATTACTCTGGTGTGAGAAACTGAAAGTGTAAATCAGAGTCAAAATGTGTAAAAGAAATGTATAACGTGAAATAGAAAGAAAAGGGCTAAAGGGTAGGAGGAAGTGAGAGAAGGGGAAAGGAAAAAATGGAAACAAAGTCTTTGAAAATAGAAGTGGAGGAGGGGTAAAAGGGAGGGCAGGAGAATGGTGGAAAAAAATAAGAAC